AGTGGTCGGCAGCGTCCGATGCGTAAGATCTACAGCATAGGGAAAGCCAACTGTTGTATTCCTGGGAAAGGGGGTGGATGGGGCGGGGGATGGGGTTTTTTTGGGAGTATTTTGGGTTGAGACAACAAAGCAAGAAATGGCCAGAAAAACAGCAATGTACAAAAGCAGAGAGACAGGGGAGGGGAGGAGAACACCAACACAGCTGAACCAGGCTCTTTTAGCTGCTAAATGGAAAGTGCTCAGACTTTGCCCCAGCACCAAGGCTGCTCTTAAGGCCCTGGATGTGACCCTGAGGGCACCAGCTGCCCCTGAAGCTACCATGGGTGTATGGCTTATCACCCCGATCCTCCTCCAAGCAACTCATTCCCCCAAAGACAGAGAAAAGAAAAGCAAAGGTGGTGAGTTAAACGTGCAGTAGGTAAAACCTGCCTATTATCTGGGGACAGTGATCCTTCCGATGATGCCATGTGATAGGGGGATGGTGAGAACCTGTTATCGGGCCGGAACTCTTTATCATAGGCCATCATGTTCCACTCCAGGCGCCGGTTACGGGCTTTCCTCACTTTCTTCACCTCCCGGGTGGAGTCTTCCACCAGCCGCTGCTCCTGAGGGCACACACAAACCACGGCTCCATCTCAGCCCAGCTCCTCCAGACCATGACCATCACCCAGCACCACAAGATGTGCCCACCACAATGGGTTGGAGCACACGGCATTTATCAGGAAGGTCCCCCACGTCCTGGGCAGCCCTCCCAGTGTCCTTCACTGTTACCTTCTGCCTGCGCTTCTCCTTTCTCTTATCTTCTGTTGCCTGCAACATTTTCTCCTTCCATAAGTTGAAGAAGTAGGAGGGGTCAGTGTAGAATTTGAGACCATCCTTTTTGTCATCCCTGGGAGGTTGGGAAAGGAGAGTGGGTTATCAGACACAGGAGAATACCCCATTTTCCCTGCACAGGGTGGGTTGGTACAAGCACGGCCATAAGCTGTTGCCCCACGATGAACACGTCCAACACAACAGTAACCGCTGCATAGGTTGCTTATCCCAAGCATCCTACACCATGGGGATGGTGGCACAGCAACTGCAGAAAGTCTCCCAGCCGTTGTTGAGCAGCAAATGGGGGCACCCCTGATGTCTCTCCTGGAAAGGATCCCCAGAACACCCCAGCACCTCCTCAGTCCCCCCAAGGAGTGATGCACCAGCCACCCTACCTGTAGGGCGTGAGGATGTTGAGCGGCGGGGGCTTGTCGCAGCGCTGGTACATCTCCATCACTGGGTTGGGGATGGAGTTGCGAGACACGACCTGCTGGTTCTGCACTGTGGAACTCTTGAAGGCTTTCCTCATGTTGATGTCCTGCAGCGAAACTGGGGGCACGAGAAGAAGTGGGGATGTAGGGGTGGCCTCAGCCCCATGAGCCTTGGGCTAGTCCGGCCCTGAGTACCCGGCTACCACCCCAAAACAGCCCCAGCCCCTCACCTTCCTCCACCGTAGAGTCCAGCTGCGTCACCTTGATGACCAGCAGGTCCACCCTCTCCTGCAGCGAGTTCATCCTCATGTAGAAGCTGTTGGCTTCGTTGAACAGCTCTCCGAAGATGTCCTCTGCGTGCCTGCCTGGCAGAGGGCAACGCGCGCACGTCAGGCAGCCCTCGCCCTGCCCATCCCTGCACCTCACAGCTCCGCGGGGCTCTCTCCCCACCACTTTTTGGGAACTGAGCCTCATCCTCTCCCAGACCTTGCAGAATGTACAGAGGGGGGTGAGCACAAACCACCCACCCTTCTCCTGCGCCCTCCTCTGTGCATGAGCATCCTTTTCAGTGAGAGTGGTACCCATGGGAGGCACTGAACCATCACTGTCCATACCCAAAAAGCCTTTGGATCTACCAGGACAGATGCAGCCAAAAAACTACCACCACACAACGTGACCTGTAGAAACCCTGTCCTCAAGGTGGAAAACCAAGAGCAGGGCAGCCGGGAGAGTCCTACAGCAGGGAGAAGCTGTGATTTATTTCACTTCAGCAGTTCTCCTGCAGCGCTCAGTGCCCACAGTGCTATGTGCATAGCTCAGTGCTATGATTAGGGCTGTGATTGTCACAGGACTGAGCAGGGCACCTGGCAGAGCATTGCTGACATCTGCAGGCTACAGCACCCAGCCCAGCCCTGTACCTCGGGGTTTCCTCCAAAACCATGTATCAAATGGCTCCTGAGATCAAGGCACTTTTGGAATCTGCTCGGCCTGTCACCCAGCTCAGACGTTTATACTTGATTTCCTTTTCCCCGGATGAGGGAGCCATGGCCTGAGCACTCATGGTGCTGCTCATGTGAGCTCCTGCGCTTCCAGCAGCTCCCTAAATACAGGCTTTATTTTTCTGGAAGTATTTCAGAGAAGAATCTAGTTCTTGAGGAGGGGTAAATAAGAGAGGGAGCCCTGAAAAGCCTGTGCTTCTTTCTCTATTTTAAGTCAATACTCAGCAGTGAAATAGGTTGCCCCTATTAAATCTGCACATTGGTGCGGGCAGTGCTCTCATCCTCCCCTTTTCTGCTGAAATCAGTCCCAGCACAGGAAGACGGAAGAGGATTTAGACCTTTTATAGAGACATCTCTTTCACATAAAGCTCTAATATCAAAAAGAATAGGTTGGGTTCTTTTACTCTTCACCTGACCTTCCTGTTTCAGGCCAACTTGACAAGCAAAAGGCTCACAAAGGCTTTTTTTCCCCACTGCACAGATCAGCTATGGGAGGAAAATGGGTCTTAAAAATGTCACCAAGTCCCCATTTGGGTTTGGCCCTGAGTATCCTCCTTTTTTTTAATTAGCTGAATAATTCCCACTGAATTAGGGGTGGCTGCAGCCACACAGCTTTCATGTAGCCCCATTTCTCTGTGATCGGAACTGGACCAAGCAGTGTCCCATCAGCATCCCACGCCGAGGTCGCTGTATGTGACTTACTGAGGCTGCCCAGCTGCTTGATGATGGCAGCCAGCGTGCTGTTGGTGACACATTCCAGCTCACTCGTCACCCCCTCGGGAAGAGCCCCCCGGCACAGGTGCCGGGGCTCGATATTCCTCTTCACCAGCGGCATGCTGCCGGCGAGCCCTCACGCCGCTCCTGGGCAAAGCAGAAAGAGAGAACAAGAAATACACAGCTTTTACCATCTGCATGGTTTTATCCTGGTTTTATCCCTGTTCCCTCTGCTCTCTGCTCAGGGCACTCATCCTGCCCATCCTGGGACACGGCAAGTGCAGCCTATGCAGTGGCATCAGGGCTTTTCCAAGCAGGGAATGCTCTGTGGGTGCAAACCGGTGCGCACACGGATGCCAGGATGGAGGTGAGGACCCTACCTTGTGCTCCACTGACAAGCCACCGTACCCAGGGAGCTTTTCCCACTTACCTTCCTGGAGCTGTGCTCAAACCAGGAGCAAACCCCCATGTGCTGCAGCCCTGAAAAGCCTCGTCCAACCCAAACAGCAGCCAGAAGCGAGCAAGCGCTTGTAATGCCATTACTTCCAGCTCAGTGCAAAGCTCTCCAGGGTTTTGTTTGTGCACACACCACACCGAGGCAAGCTGCCGTGGCCAGCTCACCCCTGCTCTCTGTAGCACCCTACATGCTCTCTGCTCCACCACCACCCTTGCCTGAACTGGAGATGGTTCATTTTCTATGGGGCTTGAGGAGATGAAGGGAGATGCCTGCACCCAGCAGCCTCATCTCCAGTGAGAGCACCCATGGGAGCTGGTGAGGAAGGATGAAGATGGGCACAGTGGGGTAGGAGAGGGTGCTGGGGCAGGTCACCCTGCTGATGTAAAGGACAAGTGGTGTGAAACAGGCTGAGAAAGGAGAAAATAAAGAGCATTTATTAACCACAGTGGTGTCCCCTGGGGTGCTGCAGCCTGGGAGTGGGACATGGACAGGCACAAAGCGCACAGGCTTGCACAAGGGGGTCTTATGTGACATGAGTGCATCAGGCCTCAGATCCACTCCTAATGCAAAGGCAAACTGATGGCTTTAGCACTGAAATCACCACAGATTGGATCCTGGGCTGGTGGGGACCGGAGGGCATGAACAGCCTTCCCAGCTCCTGGGTGCGGTGAGATGAATCCCCCCCATTCCACACTCCATCCACCCCATCCCTCACAAACACCCGCCCTGCTTTGGCAGTGAAGGAAAACCAGCTCCCAAGCAGAGCTGTTAATAGCTGGGAGCAGAGCAGCCGGGCACAGCAATTCCAATCATGAACGGAGCCAGAAACCTGCAGAGTTCACATTTTTTGGCCCCGGGAGCATTCGACAGAACAGTTTCCCATTGATAGCACCCGCCAGCGCTCCCGTCTCCCCACCAGCACCGCCAGCTCCTTCGCAGTTTTCAAATGCAAATGCAAGCTCCCTCCATGAAAGAGTCCAAAACTTGTTTCTAAATCATTCATATTGAGCTTCCCAAAGGGCCGATTGTGCTCCCGGATCTGTATGTGCAGGGGGTGAATGCTTGGGCTCTGCTCTGCCCCAGGGCAATCGGGGCACCGTGGGAAGGACCCCAGCCCTGAACCCTCCTTAGAGCAAACCGTGTGTCCTCCGGCGCTTCCCAAAGTCACTGCACATGCGTGGGGAGCTGATGCTGTTCCTGGCTCCCAAAAAACCTAGAGGCTTCTCCCAGCTGGGTATATTTTGGCTGAGAAAACTGTGAAGGAGTTTGCAGGGATGTTGCTGATGGATGCTTGCTCTGGCCACATACAGCCCCCCTTTCCAGGCACCCCTGAACCCCACTTGTATAAAGAGAGGAGCAACACTGGCATCTTCACCCCAAGCTTGCTTTGAGATGATTTTATGTGTCACCCCAAAACCCACACTCAGAGGCTGAGCCCCAGCATGTCCCCATGTAGCAGTGGCCGCAGGGACCGGAGGGTGCAGGGCAGAGGAGTTAATGAGCTGCTTGGGCCCAGCAATTAGAAGCAGGGAACAAAGAGCCATTCTCAGCAGCCGCCTGGGACACGGCCACCGGCACCGGGGCTCTTTGTTCTGCACGGGGGGCCTGGGAGGAATCAGCCTCCATCCCTCATGGGGACCATAGAGGGGAATGAAGAAAAGAAGGATCTGAGGTCTGAAACTTCCCAGCAAGGACAGCCTTGAAGAGGGGCAGAAGGTGGGGATGTGGTCTGATAACAGCATTGGAGACCACGCTATGGGAGAAGCATGATCCCTTTAATCTGCCCCCACCCCCAAAAGCTCTAACAAGACTCAGAGCTTGCAGCAGAAGAAGCCAAGGAGGAGTAGGCACACACACTTTTAGGCCAAGGTAGCCAGGACAGGCAACTTTTAAATTGCTGCTTTTTAACCTCCCCAATTAATGGCTGATATTCCCAATGTGGATAGGGATAGGCCAGGAGCAGTGCATGATTTCTGACACACACACGGCCATACCAGACCCCACCTCAGTGCTCAGCACCATGGGCCATCACTAACACTCTGCATGCACCAGGCTTGGCAACAACCGCTGTGGCACCCCCACTACAGCCCAGTTGGGCATTGCCATGCAACCAGTAAAGCCACATCTGGGCAGCTGCAGGACCAAATTGCCATCTTCCCATAGGCACTACTAGCCCTTGATAGCCCTGAGCAGCCCCACCTGGGACACACATCCCCACCCATAGGCCAGGAGGTTATTTAAGCTCAGCTAGTCCGGCCCTGAGGGATGCTCCAGCCCTGCTCCTGGTTTGACCCCTGTTGGACCTCCTGCAAGCAGCTCCTGCCCCAGGTGGGTCCCTCGGGTGGGTGCTGGCATGAGTTTGGTGCAAGGTTTCTGAGCCCCGGTGCTGATTCTGCTGTGAGATGCCTGCTCTGGCACCATGGGTGTGAAAAGGAGTTCCTAAAATCATCCCTTGGCATACAAGTGTCCATCCTCGCTGGTGGTGGATGCCTGTAGGTGGGGATGAGGTCTTCCCCTCCTGCTCTCCTCCCTGCTTGCAGTTCAGGACATGTGCCAGCCCCTGAGGGCTCGGGTCCTTTCCTCTCTAGCTGAGGGTGCATTAGGAGATGCAGCTGATGGCTCTGAGGCCATGGGAAGATTCCAGCCACACCTGCCCATCCCTGTGATCCCACCATTCAGCTGCTTTTGGGATAAGCCCTCACAATGCTTCACCTTCAAAGCTTCACCCAGGTTTATGTGGCTATACGGGCTTTTCCAAGCAGCCGGCAAGGTCAGCTTCTTTTTACTTCCAATGGATAGTCCCAGTGTCTCTAGGTGCTGGCTGCTCCATGGGTGTGGGGTTCACAGGTACAACCTCAACCAGCCCAACCTTCTCACAATGGTCTGAGACATCCCATTTCCCTGCACATCTCCAGGGCATTATTGCAGGGTCAGCATCTCTTCTGCTGGGTCTGGGAACATCAGCCAGGTTCTAGTATTGCTCCCATGGACTAAGATCTATGAGGTTTTGTTGTCTCCTCAGTGGAAGAGAGGAGAACTCAATGGGATAATGCTAGTGTCAGGCTGCAGGAGGAGGAAATCAGGAGCTGCAAATGGAGCC